TGAAAGGTAATTTTTTAAAAAGATTTGTGACGCTCCCCTAAATCCCAATCTTTCCATAACTTTCAGAAGCTCGACATGGTTAACCGTATCAAAGGCATTTTTTAGATCAACAAAGATACCAATAGTAGGTATCTTTTTGTTGACATTAGAGTTAATTTCATCCATTGCAGCCAAAATTGCATCTGTAGTAGATTTTCCTTTTCTAAATCCATATTGGTCAGAACATATAATTTTGTTTTTGTCCAAAAATTGTAATATCCTTTTTTGTAGTAATTTTTCGAAAATTTTGGCTATATTCGACAGTACTGATATGGGTCTATAATTTGATGTTTCCATTCTGTCACCGCTTTTATAAACAGGAGTAATAACAGTTGTTTTAAATGCATCAGGACAAATTCCAGATTGGAAACACCAATTAATGCCGTAAGAAAGTAGGCTATTATTTTTAAATGGTCAGCTTTGATACCATCTACACCAGGACTTTTTTTGGTTTTAAGTGATAGGACAGCTTCTTGTACTTCAATCGGACTAACGCTTTCTAAAAAGAATGAATTGGGAAGTTGGGTTTTTGTGAACTTTTCGTTCGAAGCCATTTTTTTAATACTGGATGCTAAATTTTCTCCAACATTAGTGAAAAAATTTAAGAATGCATCGGATATTTGTCGTTAATATTGTTCTATCACGATTCTTAATTTCATCAATATTTGGCTTTTCTTGAACATCTTTGTTAGTTAAGTGATCGACAACTGACCACAGTTTTCTTGGATCAGATTTGGCATCTTGTAATCTTTTTAGATAGAATTGGCGTTTTGCTTCTCTAACTAGATTGATAAAAATATTTTTATATTCTTTATATTTATCCATTACGTATCTCCAAATGTACCAAGATATAATCAAAAACTGGTCTTCTGAAAGCTCAAAATCAGCACCTCAATGGCATAATGTATAGATTCACAACCATGTTCTTTACTACAACTTTTTTGCTTTATTTTCTTTAATTTCATTTCCTAAAAACAACAAACATTTACTCTTAGAATGGTGGTATGTCTGATACGCCACTGACAAGGATTTTTTACGTGCGGTTAGCTTCGTTTTGTTTGAAGTGTCTAAGCCCCGGTGAAGCCGCTTATACGTTTAAAGAAAGTTGAAGAGATGCCCGAACTGTTATTGAGAATGGGTTTAAGGGAGTAGCCACGAAACTTGACGGGATTATTTTTACGCTTGAAATACCCCTGGAAACAGTGGTGTTGATGTTGTGTTTTATTACGGCTTTTTTCAGAACAACAATTTACGTTGATGCTTTTCGCTGAATCGTTTCAGGAAGAAGGATTCAAATTGACTTCAAAGTATAGTATTGACCTTCCTTGCCGGATAATTGGGATCTAAAGCTTTGTGGACTAGAGTACGCGCGCATCGTTTTCCAAGCTGACCACCGATCGTATATCTCCGGAAGTCTGGAAACTGCATCTCGATAGATATAGCATCCCTCTTCGCATCGCAATCCCGATAGCAGGGCGTTAATTCAATAGCTTGCTAATTGATTCGGACAAGTTTTATCTTTAGAGCGCTGTCACGAGGCTTTCCGATTGACTGATGATGGCTGAAAGTACTTATGGCGGAGCGCAGGGGTCAGGGCCACTGGTCCTTTCGGATTACGGGTCTGCTAGTTCATGTAAAAACTGGCGTCAAGTTGATTGATTCTATACATCCTACACCTTCGTTAGTGAAGAAAAGCGATGAGAAATCGTTTCAGAAGGCGGAATTGAATCGTGATTTGGTACGTTCAATTAGAGACGATGAATATTCCTCTGCATATCAAACTATATATTTCTGTTTCCATTGTAGGTGTGTCTAACAGGTGCATAGTATCAGTGAGATCAGAAGCTTTTTAATAAGAGCAGGTCTTTCACTGATACCAAATACAACTATTTACCGAATACAGCTTCAAACCACAATTTTCGTCCCCTCCAGAAATGTCTGAAAATGAGCAGAAATGTCTGAAATATTGTAACTCTATGTCGCAGCGATTTTATTTCTGCCGCCTTGGTTCAATTCTCAAAATCTACTAGTGCGTAAACGATTCAAGAATTAAGCTTGCGATAACATTCGAACTTCAGTACACACATTTTTTGTTGCCTAAAGATAACTGCATAACACAAGTCCGCGTTTCTCATTTACGTCGGTTTGAAGTGCGTGTCTGTTGTACATCAACGGGTCACAAGTACTGAGTGAATCTACTTGATGAAATATTCAGAGAACCATCACAGACGCAGTAACACAAATTAAAGGTTAGGCGAAATGGGTGGTACATTTAAGGATCATAAAATACAGAAATTCTGTATAATATATGTGTAGATATAAAAACATAATTTACAAAAGCAACGCAGAACGCTAAAGTGGTACGTACACCCAATAATCAAATATTGCTAAAATATACAGGGTGACTTCGAAGTTGAGTCATTTATTTAACAGTGAGTAGATCTGATCAAAAGAAATGTTTTTTTCCTTTACCATTTTTCTGGTAAAATTAAAGTAACAAAGTTATAGCCCTTTGGAAGTTTGAGTACCGCCCTGTCTCAATAATAATATTATGTGCTCGTGTTTGGCAACAACGGATATAATCCGCCTTATCGGTTCATCGCATCGGAAACAAAAAAGCGAAAGAATTTGGAACGATGTTTTTACAATTATTTTATTCAGTTGTATAGAGTCAGTGTCAGTCGGTAACGCGTCAGTGAATAGTGGTGTCTGTTGCGTGGCTCAAACGAAATCAAAAATGGCACATGTTTACGAAAATGCTGAACTTGTGGACATGATTCTTATTTACGCGGCATCACGGATTTATCGGTTTCCCAATCGAGTGCAACCAACCCCTCGTGCCTTTGTTAATGTAGTACAAAGGGCTCGTGAATCAGGTGACTTAAGACCTCACAGGGGAGGGCATGCCGGTGCTCCAAGACCGCACGATCAAATACAGGTCCGCACTGAAATACTTGAAGGGAGGATACTTTATAAAACAAGGTAACATTTTTTTTTAATTTTTTTTTTATTTTTACACACATATTTTAGTTTATCTTCCTTCTACAATCATTATCTGAAAATTAATGACTCAACTTCAAAGTCACCCTGTATAAATATTTCTCTTACCAGTAATTTGAATTTCTCTTTATTAATGATAGCGTACCGATTCCTAGGCCAAACCCTTTTCAATGATTTTCTTTTGGCAAAGTTCCTAATTTATTGATCTGGAACATCACAATTTCTCATTTATTATCATAATTTTTTTTGGCATCGAATCTGTGTAGTATAGAATCTTGGAACGCCCTCCTACTTTTGACATCGAGGACAGCCTGACTTACTAACAGACGGCCGGCAGTCTGGAGACTGCCATTTTTTCTTTCCTTTTGAGGCTTTTGGTTATGCGTGGGTCATCCGTTTGATTTCCAGATTTACGGATACTGGGCCCCAGTCACCAGTATATGGACTAGCACCTTTTTTTGTACCTACCTTAGGTTTAGTTGGTTTGGTGCCACTCTCTCCATTTTTATGGGATTTCCAGCTTTTCTTCTTATTATACCATCTGACCACGTGCATTTATGCATGTCCAGAAGAAGTTTGTTCAATATCTGCTTCATTGCAGTGGGAAGGCATTGAGGAAAGCCGCCATCTGCACCGCTCCAACTTTGTTGCTGTTTTGTAGCCGATTCTGCAAGTCATCCTTGAGAAAAAGTCCTGTTCACATCACGGTTTTTATCCATCTTCTGGTAAAAAAATACATTTCTGCCAGATACATGTTGGTAGGATGTGTGTAGGTCAACGACTGACCAGAAATGTAATTTCTTTTACCAACTATTTGAGAAATTGACCTGCAGATGAAATGTTCTAAGATGAACGAATCTCAACAAATCATAACTACATTGACATCGATGGTCAGGAATCCAAAACTGCAAAATACATAGGCCCAAAAAAGCATCAATTGGCTGCTTCTGATTTAGTCACGAGTTAAAAATTATTATTATTTTCCTTTAATTAAATTCCATTTAATTTTTACGCGCATAATACGTATTAAAGTCGCGCATGTGCGGTAATCATCAGGGCAACCAGAAATTACTCGTAACTGTAACCGTCATTTTCCTAATACTTCCGCATTTCCGCTATACGCATTATGCCCTGTGCATAACGGCTATTATTTCACCTCACTTTGGCCCGGTTCGTTTAACCGGCCACAAGCTGACCTCCAGGTAACAATAAACAATATTTCATCTGGGGACACATACCGACAACTCAAAGACCACCCTTTTTCCAAATTATTTGCTGTCCCCTAGCTCTCCATATTAGGTAGGTCCTTTAGAGACATCTTATGTAAAGTTAAATGCATTGTTCAAAAGTGCGATAAGCTTTTCAAACAGTCACCGCCGTAGAAAAAACTTTATCTCTGGTGGGAAGTATTAAAAACGCTTACTGATTCCTGGTGAGCATATTTAAATCAATGGTGTTTTTTGGCATGGGGAGTTAATTTACTACTTGAAATTATTTGTGACTTTCCTTATCGTTAGGCCTTTAGATATACTTTGTTCTTGAACTTGATTACACGCTTTATTATATAGAATAAATAACCAAGCGTTATATCAAATCTATCTGCTACATCATGATGTTTCATGTCCTGCGAACCACAAAAATATGGATAATAAGCAATCGTCTTTTTGAAGAACATGCTCTGTTCGTATTTAGTTGAAATATCTTCAGCCGCTTTGCGACTCACTCTGAAATGTATCATTTTCCGTTGTAAAGAGGCACCAATAGATTTATGTAATACTCATTTTTTTGTTTTTCAGTTTATGAAGTAGTATGTGCAGAATGTTTTCATCAAATCAATACCTGATAACCAATCGGATTATGGATCTGAACTAATTGAATCTGATATTTCTGTGAGCAATAGGAATCTGTATACGAGGGATGTCTTTTAAGTTTTGCATATGGGAATAAAACAACACGGTAGGTAGTTTTAAATGACTTTATTGTTTTTCGAAGCATTCTCCGCGAAGATTAATACACATCTGCATGCGCTCGAACCAATTTTCGAAGCACTTATTCCACTCGTTCGCTGGCAGATCCAAAACGGCATTTTTTAATGCGTCAACTGCTTCTTCTGGTGACTGGAACCTTTGACCACGCAAACTGTTTTTGATTTTCGGGAAAGTAAAGAAATCGTTAGGACTTAGATCGGGACTATATGGAGGATAGACCAATAATTCCACGCTTTCTTCAGTTAAATACTGCCTTGTTTTTTGGGCTGTGTGCGAGCTTGCATTGTCTTGGTGGAGGATGATTCTTCTTTCGGGGTTGATTTTTCGAAGCTCGGTGATGACTTCTGGCAAACAAATGGTGGTATACCAATCCGCAGTAACAGTTCTTTGCTCATTAAGAGGAACTGTTGCAATATGACCCGCTTTTGATACAAATGTCTCCACCAATTAACCCTGGCTGCTTTCTGCTCTTCAGTCAACAGGTGGGATATCCAACGAGAAATTAATTTTCTTACTCCTAATTGTTCATGTAAAATTTTTTTAATTGAGGTCTTTGAGATCTTCAAGAAGGCCTCAATCTCGCGATATGTCACATGTCTAATGACGAGTTTGCGAACAGCGTCGACGTTTTCCTGGGTGACTGCCGTTTTTGGTGCACCCTGGGATCGACACTAAGAGTCACCCGTCCACGTTTGAATTCTCCATACCAACGGGAAATTGTCGACTTATGTGGCGCTTCGTTGCCGAAAACAGACAGTAACTTCTTGTTGCGATAATTGGCTCTGAAAGTTGTAATAGATTACGGCGCGAAAATGTTCTCGGTTGAGTTCCATGTTTCTAATGACTTGGTGACACTTAAAAATTCACTGTAGTGAGAACATTGCACGTATTGTGAAATTTTGAATTTAAGTTTACTAAAGTGTGAGCTTAAGATTCAATAGTGACGTTCGATGTTTCTATATGCAAAACTTAAAAGACATCCCTCGTACAATAAAAAACTAGTACAACAAATTTTATAAAAACGATTACCTGGCTTCAATCCACTTAAGAAAGACGCAGATTCCTCAACACAATACAAAGAACATAACCCCAAATCATAAGGCACCCATAACAAAACATGATATTGTGCGAACTGTGCATGTCAGAATCTCCAAGCCGCACCAAAATCCTTTGTTTGTTGAGTTTCCAAACCAAAGATTGGTTTGTTGAAACAACTAGGTTTTACCCTGGTTTGAACAAAATTCCCCCACTGCGCACGCTCAGTCGGGAAATGTGATGCTGTAACAGCAGTCAAAGCCATATCGTCAGTCGTCACTATAATAAATTGTAGGACGCCTTTATGGCCTCCTTGATTTTCATAGTTTTCTAATGTTCCGTGTCAGTGCTCCATTTTGAGGTTAAGTCACAAATATCTATGTGCATCGAATTGTTCATGCTTTTGATTTATATCATCTGTTTTATCAGCCTGGAATTTCCTTCAGTTCAAAAAGAAAACATAACTTCACAATATGAGAGCGCTGACGAACAGTAGAAATCTAGAAATACCCTAACCTTCGTGAAGGAGAGAAAATACTATGGAAATCAAGAAGGTCATAAAGGCGTCCTACAATATTGTAATTGTTAAGTATCAATCGCACCTTGCATCATTTCCACCGCGGCCGACGTCGATTTGTTTGGCTAAATTATCAGTGCATCGACGGCGCGGTGGTTGCGAGTGCGGAATCGATGCTCACAATTACAGGGATTGGCGGAGACTAAACAAAAGGCGATCACAGCCACGCGTTCATGGCCTACTACGTGACGTTCCACCGGGATACTCGCCACTCATCCTACAGGGCACATACACCACACACGGATGAAATTTTAACGAATGTGTACGAAATGAAAAATGAGCACGCCTTGTTTGGCCGCCGCTGTATACGATATGTGGACGGAATTTCGAATTAAGTTTATGAGGAATCACTACAAGGATCTTTACGTGAAATTACTGGAAACCAGAACGCGAATAACACTGTTAGACACAGGATTTGTGAGATGACAATTTTTTGGTGTATCTTATGCATTTTAAGACCCTTAAGTCAAATCTGAAAACAGAATATTTATATCACCCACAGATATTCGCTAACATCTACTTTTATGAATTACAATACGTAATGCTGCATTTCTCGGCGTTTATGCGATGGCGCACATATATAATGTTAAGACCTGTCTATTCCTGTTTATTATATGCGATATCTATGTTTAGAGAGAATATTGCGTTTATTAGTAGACTAATAGCAGCCGAGTCAGTTACGTGTACTGTGTTGAAGAGTACTGAGATGTTCTGCTGAGTACTGTTAATTTTTGTTAAAACGGTGTTTTATTTTTAGTTTATTGTGATCGAGACTAGCTTTATGGACAATGCCTAGATATTGTGTGAACAGTGCGAAAAATTTTTGTTATGTGTACGGAGACCTAACTTTTAAATCCCAAAAACGTACTTTTACCTCCTTTGTGTTGAAAGCATACGAACTTTATTTTTTAATTAAAGTTCGCGACCAAGATAAACTATGGGCGGCCCCGCATATACAGTAATGGACAAAAGTATATAGACAAATATGAATATTTACCTAAATACTTCTAGAAAACGAATTCATACTTCGTTGCTCCATAAACAAATGCGTTATTAGTAGAAAAACTAAATTCCTTGTTTTTAAATTATTAGCAATGAACACAATACAAGTCTCAATGTAAGCACTTTTTTATGAGGGACAAAAATATGTAGACAAATTCTTTTTAATTTAGTACAGTTTCATGTCAGAAGAGGATTAATTTGTGTTCATCAAGTATTGTGGAATAAGTTGAGTGATTTTAAGACGATGCCGCGTGGTACATAAATTTCTTTCGATGTGAAAACTAAGATCATTGAGTTATACAAAAATGGTCAACGTCAAGTCGACATTGCCAAAAATTTGAAGCTGAAGCGTAAAGCAGTTTGGGCAATATTGAACAAATATAAACAAAAGGGTATCTTGGAAGCCTCTAAGAGAAGTGGTCGTAGTAGGAAACTAAATGCTAGATCAGTTAGATTAATAAAAGCAATTTCGTCCAAAGATCCGTTTAAAACCCTAAGACAAGTAAATGCCGAAATCGAGTCAAAAGGAATTGTCAGTGTTTCTACGAAAACTATAAGTAGAAGATTAAATGATTTGAAGTTATTTGCACGTCGCTCGAGTAAGAAGCCGTTAATCTCGAGGAAAAACCGTAAGGACCGATTACAATTTGCACGGTTGCATCTTGATTGAAGCATCTGTGATTGGAATAGGGTATGTTTCAGTGACGAATCCAAGATCAATATATTTGGATCAGATAGTGTTCATTAAGTTGGACGTCCTAGTGGACAAAGATTGAAAGATTGAACCCCACCGTCAAACATGGAGGCGGGTCTGTTATGGTTTTGGAGGTGCTTTTCGAGGTTTGGGATGGGACCTTTACATAGAATAGATGGCATTATGGATAAGTTTGTATACACAGACATACTAAAGCATGTCATATTACCCTATATGGAAAACAATATGATCAATCTTCCAGCAAGATAATGACCCGAAGCACACTTCAAATCTCGCAAAGACACTGTTTCTGGATGAAAAAATACCAGTTCTCAAATGGACACTTCTGCTATGGAAAAACGGAATCAATGCAAATGGAGTGTCAATTTGCTTGCTGATTATTGCTGGACATTGTTAAGAGATACTTCAGGAGCAACATACCGCCGTAAAACATCGACAACAACATTCGAGTGTATATTAGTAATCTTACACACATATTATATTTTACGAGCATAAGCAGCAAATAAAATGCCTTATTACAAGAAAACCATGGGTGATAGAAAAAATCGAATGCAAATTCCGGCTTTCTGGGTACGTTTTATATAATAACCACCTTGTTTTGTCCATGTCACAAAAATTATTTTAATTTTTTTCACCAGTGTAATGGGGATTTTAATTTAAACAATTTTTGGAATTGCCGAGGTTACAGATGTCATTGCAAAAATCCAGAAAACCAATAACACATTCACAGGTAATCTTTAAAAGGAAAATATTCTTTACTTAGTTCGTTTTTTAGAACATGCCTTTTACAAGCTTTTCATGGACATGCCTTTCACAAGCTTTTCATGGAAAGAAATCTGGGGTTCTTCGTCCTATAACCTTTTTAATTCGTTTATCTTTTTGTAGTGGAAAGTTTACCAGCTTATTGAAAATTGGAAAAAAATATAATTTTATAAAAAAATATAATAATACAGTACATGCAAATACGTACAGATCTGACACCAGTGGCGAAATTTAGCCGTGGGCTATTCTTACACTTAACCACTAGTGCGGAAAGGTAGACAAAGTATAAGATGACATGAGGAGAATAAAAGAAAGATACAAAATCCCAGGTAACTTATATGATATACGTAGCAAGATAGAACATAGTACAAATTATGAATTGCAGTCCTAAAAGAAAGGAAAAGAAAAAAATGCATATGGCAGATGAAAATAATAATAAAAATAATAATAAAGCATTCATTTAGCATAAGAGCTACATTTTAGCCAATACTTCTGCGAAAGATTAGACAATAGAGGACAGGTAGATGTGGTGTACACCGATTTCTCCAATGCCTTCGATAGGGTCAGCCACAGTATTTTGCTCCGAAAGCTTGAGTACCTGGGCTTCAACAACATTTACTTAGCGCTCTTAACATCATATCTGTTTGAAAGCAAACATTATGTTTTTTATAATGGCTACATATCACATGTTTATGTCTCAACCAGTGGCGTACCACAGGGTTCGAATTTAGGACCACTGTTGTTCATATTGTTTGTGAATGATCTGTGTGAATCTTTGGCTTGTTCTAAGTTAATGTTCGCAGACGACCTAAAATTTTATTCATCCGTTTCATGCTTGGAAGACTATGCATTTGTCCAAGGTCAAATAAATAAATTGCAAAGCTGGTGTGCCAAGAATCAACTTCATCTTAATATAAGTAAGTGTAAAGTAGTAACTTTTTCAAGGAAAACCAACCCCATGGTATATAAATATACAATGATCGAACATGTTCTTGAGCGCAGTGAAACTGTGAAAGACTTAGGTATCTACTTTGATCAACATCTAACCTTTAACGAGCATATCAATCAAATCATTTCAAGCGCTTACCGAACCTATGGCTTCGTTATCAGGAATTGTAAATCTTTTGACGTTTTGACTTTGCAGACATTATACTTTAGCTTGGTTAGGTCTAAGCTTGAATATGGATCTTTGACATGGAGTCCGATTTACAAGCAGTATATTGATGTTGATAAACTTCAAAAGAAATTTTTAAAATTTTCAGGTTTTAAGATCGATGGCATATATCCTACTAGAGGTACAGAATACAACATCCCTCTTCATAAATACGGCATACAATCCTTAGAATAACGGCGTCAGCAATCAGCAGTTATAGTTTTATATAAATTACTGCATAATCTAATAGACTGCCCTACAATACTTTCAGAAATACAGTTTCTGGTACCACGACTAACATCAAGGTATAATGTTCCTTTTTTATGTCAAAGAGCTCAAACAAAGTTATTGTCGAAAGCGCCTGTCAACATGATGTGTGTGAATGCGAATAAAATAGCCGATGTATGTGACATATTCTTATATAGCATAGGTGAATTGAAATGCAAATTGCGTGCTCACTTTTGATTTATCTTACGTTTCTTATTTTTAAGCTGTAGCTATATTTATTTTTTGTTATTGATACATGAATTATTATTGTTTTTTTTCTTCACAAGCTACCTCATGGTGATTTTGTTTTTTTTTATAGTAG